TTTACCCTAAAGGACCCCGCCCATTAAGGGGTCAAACCTGCCACCCCATTAAGGTGCTATTTTTATACCATAGTTTTGTAGCTTGGACCCAATAACATATTTAGAAATATTGCTTTTCTCTAATAGACTTTTATTTATAAAGAGAGGCGAATATCTCTATGCCCATATGACTAGGAACAATTGAGAACGCTGAACGGCAGTTATCTCTATTATGGAAAAAGATTTTAAAATTCTGATTTCATATTTAGAAACAGTGTTATAGACCTTCTAGTTCTGTGTGATCACTGATTTTTCAAACTTAATAGAGATCAAATAAAAACTGGATGTACGATCACCAAGAGTAGATAGTTTAGATATGTATGAAAACTTGTGATGACATTATCTCGGGAATAAAAAATAATTCATCAGCGAAAACTTTCACACATACTTGCTTATATAGTGAGCTTTCTGCTAATAATACCATGAGTTCTGAATATTTTATTCAAAGAATCGTTTGGTGCCTAAATATTCTCAATGAGTACCGTATCATATGCACACATATATATTGAAAAATCCATTCAAAATGTTTTTATCTTTTTTTGAACCAGAAATGACAACAATTTTTTTTTATCGAGAAACAAAAATTCATCGGAAATAAGACTTCTGACCACTCAGTTAAAAAGAACTAATATCTTCATTGATCGATTTTGGATAAAACCAATCGTTATGTGATATGCAACTGAAAGCTTTGAGTTTGCCGTTATGGTAACTCGTCTTTTCGCGATAACCAATATCAAATCTTTTGAAAAGCCTTCTGATGAGACCCTTTGGGTAGATCGAAATCATCTGTTCTAACTACACCTAAGATGAGGATTATCATGTACGGCAGATGGTCGGGGAGAGACCCACAAGAGATCGATTACGCAATATTTTAAGTTTATTGAAACGACTTTTATCATTTTATATTCGATTTACTCTAATTAAACGTTCTCGAACACTTGTCTCTCCTCCTGATTAATTACTCAGCATTACTCAGCAAAATTCTTTAACACATAAACAAAATAAAATCGAGCAGTTCTATTTAGAACTATTTTCTTTGTCTTAGTAGATTTGTCAAATCATTTTCTGTTTGCTTTTATATTGTGTTGTTTGTGTTTTTTGTTTTCTTTTTTTATTTTGTTGGTTGTCTTTTTTGTTGTTTGCTAATTTTACCAACTGATTTTTTTGTTTCTTTGTGTTTTTGCTTTGTTGAAATTGAATATCTGGTTTATTTTTGTGTACATTTTGCTTTTTCTTCTAGTGAAACAGGTTTTTTAATCAAAAGTTATTTGAAAATATACAACTAATTACTGAAAATGCCCAATAAGCAATGTATCCGTTGTAAAAAATTGAAAGCTAGGATAAAGATTACCGCCAAAACTCATGCACGGTGCTATTCGTTGCTAAAGTCAGAAGCAATTTCATTCAGTGTTGACGAAAATTGTTATCTATGTCGTACACGTTGGTTACATTCAATTAATCAGAAAAAATGGAGAAATTGAAGTGAAAAAAGAAAGTACAAACAATATTGAAAATATGGATATTGGTATTGATGAAAAAGAAGATTCATCAACGATTGAAAATATTATTTTTGCAGGTTTAGATCATAAAAAATGTATTATTTGTCGATCTGAAGTACATGCTGGTTCAATGGTAATGCCAAAATCAGCAAGGTTGGGTCTCTTAGTGCTGAAACGAATGTATACTCCTCATGGCGTTCGAAGCTGCATAGACCACTTATGGAACTGTCGACTATTACCTGATGTAGAACTAAACATGGAAAATCGACAAACATCAATAGCCAAATTGCAACCATCGGTTCTTTTGCAGTCAATTAATGACCCTTTAGGTTTATTACAAGAAGCATCTTCAGCAGCCCGATTAGACTTCATGGATCCTGAATTGACAGATGAAGATTATTTGGAGTGGACTGGATGGAATAAACAACAATTCGAAGATATGTTTACTTTAGTCTCGCCACATATTCGTACATCTTTTAATCGTGATGCTAAAAATACTGTAGCAATGTTTTGGATAAAACTAAAGACTAATTTGTCTTTCAGGCGAATAGGTTCTCTATTCAACATTCCTGGTGATGGTGAACATCGTCGTAAAGTGGCAGCCAGAAGTTTTGACTCAGTTCGCCAAGTTTTGGTAGATAAATTGGTGTCACAATATTTAGGAATCGGTCATTTGTCACGTTCGGAAGCCATCAATCACAATACTTCCTTTTCCAACGAGTTTTTTGAAAAAAACGTAACAATTATATGGGATGGTACTTACTTCTACACAGGAAAAAGTAGCTCACACGAATTTCAAAGATCTACATATTCTGGACTGAAAAAACGTCACCTAATGAAGTTCATGTCCTTATGTCTGCCAGATGGCTATTGCTTAGACACTTTAGGACCATTTTTTGGAACTGAAAATGATGCTACAATTGCCGATCATATAGCAAAAACTAAAAATACATTGGCAGAATGGTGCGACTACGGTGATGTGATGATAGTTTATAGAGGTTTCAGAGATATTGCAACAGTATTTTCTGATCTAGGTTACGAATTCCAAATGCCTGTTTATTTACCCAAGGGTCAGAAACAACATACGACAAAGGAAGCTAATGAAGCTCGACTAATAACGAAAGTCCGATGGACTGTGGAATCTTATCATGCTAGATTAAAAAAATGGCGTTTCTTTTCTGACAGAATCGAAAACCAATTTCTACCAAAGTTCAAGATTGTGTAAGGATAGTTTCTGTCGCACTGAACTGCTATCGAGGAGCGATCATAAAAGATCATAATACACCACATATGGATAAATTGACACGATTGATGAAAGATCGATTAACTAAAAATAATTCACTTGCAGAACTAGTGGAGGCTGGAAAGTTAAAGACTAAACAAAAATGAAAAACAATTGATGAAGTGGATTTTAATTTTCCAGAAATGGGAATAGAGGATTTACGTCAACTCTTTTTTGGATCATATCAAATCAAACAATGCCAGACGTATACCGAAGAACATCTGGATATAAATGGCGACTTTTCTATACACGTTTCGAAAGAAACAAATGATATTATACGTTGTGCTATTCAGAGCCGACACAGCAACTCCATAAGATATTACGTATGGATTCAATTTTCTCTCACAGGAGATCCTATTACATCTTGGTATTGTCAATGTAAATCTGGTGCCAGAACTGTTGGTGCCTGCACACATGAAGCAACAATCATATGGTATCTTTCTTATGCACGACACCATGATTTTGAAGGTTCAAGTGATCGAAGAAGAATACAACGGTCAATTGAAAAACTAATGCAATCCAATTCAGAAGAAGATGAAGAAGAAGACGATAGTATTATGCAATGAATAAAGAAAATCCAACGGCCCTTTTAAGGGCCAATGGGACGAAAGACTAACCGTCCGGAGTCCTGTATGTTCGACATATAGCGACTACACGGCGCCCTGGGAGGAGAAAGACTGTGGCTTGCTTATAGATCACGGATGAGTATCCGGCCAATTAGTCAGTATCGATTAATTAACTTCATCAAGATTACACTATTAGCAATGCAGGTTTTTGTTTAACTAGTATTACTGTTAATATCTTCATCTCCTTCTTGAAAACAAGGATATGATCAACGAATAGATGTGTTTGTACCGAGAATTCTTTATTATCTTTAGTTCCAAAGTACTTGCATACGCAAAAAATTCACGAGCTATGCTTATTTAGTTATGACTTAAACGGTACTGTAATTAGCAGTAATAAAAACATAATTGTTTTTACTTTAAAGAAAGATAAAAACATTTTGAATGGATTTTTCAATATATATGTGTGCATATGATACGGTACTCATTGAGAATATTTAGGCACCAAACGATTCTTTGAATAAAATATTCAGAACTCATGGTATTATTAGCAGAAAGCTCACTATATAAGCAAGTATGTGTGAAAGTTTTCGCTGATGAATTATTTTTTATTCCCGAGATAATGTCATCACAAGTTTTCATACATATCTAAACTATCTACTCTTGGTGATCGTACATCCAGTTTTTATTTGATCTCTATTAAGTTTGAAAAATCAGTGATCACACAGAACTAGAAGGTCTATAACACTGTTTCTAAATATGAAATCAGAATTTTAAAATCTTTTTCCATAATAGAGATAACTGCCGTTCAGCGTTCTCAATTGTTCCTAGTCATATGGGCATAGAGATATTCGCCTCTCTTTATAAATAAAAGTCTATTAGAGAAAAGCAATATTTCTAAATATGTTATTGGGTCCAAGCTACAAAACTATGGTATAAAAATAGCACCTTAATGGGGTGGCAGGTTTGACCCCTTAATGGGCGGGGTTCTTTTAATCGTAAATATCAATATTATTATTTTATGGACAATATGTTTTAATAAACTAGTCAATACTTTAACATTTGAGTTTTGAAATACATTGAGAATGAAATTTAGTCTATATTGATAAAAATATACCCATTATTCAGAAATTGGAAACCTGATGAGTTCAAGGAAATCATGTTGGATTCAATGTTTGAAGCAGCCACATCATAATTGTATGTGCCAATCTTTGTAACTTCACTATTAGAGTTACATATGACAGTATTTCAAGCCCTCTCATTATAGAATGCCTTAGATTTCACCTAAATTGTTGTGAAATTTCTAAGTTTTGGATGGTGAAGTACTATTGTGAGCATCAGAGTGTAAAAGTAATAGTGAATTCAAGAATATTCTTAATAATAAAAAAACAAACACGAAATAGTATAGTTCCTACTGAAATGCCATCTGTGTTCTTTCCAGATTTCTATTGGTAGACCAAGCACGTATTAAAAGAAAGATTCTACTAATACTACTTGTGTGCATCTCAACTTCCTGAATTAATACATAGATGTACAAATGTTTCATTTAATATAACAATCTAGTTTATTTATAATTGCTATTAATTATTTTTTTTTCGAAGATTTTTCTTCTCATCCATGAATTTATTTCTTCGTCGTTTAATCGTTACTACCCCAAAATGCTCGTCGTTTTTCTTACGGCGTCATGTAGCTCATTTTACATTTTTCAAAGATCAACCTGATCCATCTTATGGTTGGTTTATTTCTTTAATATTTTTGTTTAACAATCGAAAATTTGTTTTCAAGGTCCTACTAAAGAAATGAATCTATGTCAAACAATCCAAAATACACTTGATATTACACTTGGCAATGATCATACCGCTAGTAACAATTGGTTTTTTTTCTGCTTTTATCTGTTTATTTGAAATTTATTTTGTAGTTATATTTGGTGAAGATGTTGCTTTCGGTGGTGTTTTTCGATGTACAACAGAATTAAGATCGAAATATGGTTTACAAAAAATATTTCTTTTCGTTCTTATTTTTCAATTATTATCATAAGTTTAGGTGCTGATCGTGTGTTCAATACACCACTATGTGAACAAGGTATTATCGGGTTTGGAATAGGTGCCGCTGTCGCTGGAACAACAGCTATTGCTGAAATACAATTTGCTGATTATATTTTCCCCGCTTATGATCAAGTAAAATCATGTTTTGTTTTCACATTGCCTTTTTTTATTTTTCTTTTTTGTATTGTTTTAGATTGTAAATGAAGCATCAAAGTATCGATATCGCTCACAGAATTTATTTAATTGTGGTAAATTAACTATTCGTTCACCATGGGGCGCTGTAGGACATGGTGCACTATATCATTCACAATCGCCTGAAGCACAATTTATGCATACACCTGGTCTTAAAGTAAAAAATATTAATCTAATTAATAATTTAATTTGATAGTTCATTTTTAGGTTGTCATTCCACGTGGTGCTATTGAAGCTAAAGGTTTACTTTTATCATGTATTAAAGATGATAATCCATGTATATTCTTTGAACCAAAAATACTTTATCGATCAGCTAAAGAAGATGTTCCTATAAAAGAATATACAATTCCATTATCAAAAGCTCAAATAATACATGAAGGATCTGATGTAACACTTGTTTCATGGGGTACACAAGTTCACGTACTTCGAGAAGTTGCACAAATGGCGGCAAAAGAAAATATATCATGTGAATTAATTGATTTACGAACTATTTTACCATGGGATGTGGATACAATTTGTCAATCAGTTAGTAAAACTGGGAGATTATTAATAAGTCATGAAGCACCCATAACTGGTGGAGTTGGAGCAGAAATAGCGGCAACAGTTTCTGTATGTAGAGAAAATTCGATTAATAAATCTTTGATTTGTTTTATATGTTCTCTTTTTGTCTTATATTTGTTTTTTAGAAAGAATGTTTCTTAAATCTCGAAGCACCAATAGAACGTGTTTGTGGTTATGATATTCATCCAATTCCACATGTGTTTGAACCTTTCTATTTTCCATCTAAATGGCGTTGTTTAGAAGCGATTAAACGGATGATGAATTTTTGATATCATAAAATAAAAATTTTACTTTCCAGATTAAAATCTTCTTTCCTTTTAGATTATGTCTATTAAATTATTTTTATTATTTATTTCATTTGTAAATAGTGATATTCCACTTGTGATATTCCTCGTTTTTCAATTGATCTTCATCCAATCGGTCGATGGTCAACTATAATATCGAATTTTGCTCAACCTATGCGTGAATTTAATGATGAAACTCGTGCATAAATTCCTGAAGTTTCTATTGATGTTGCTGAAATAATTGCTACTCGATTAGATAATCATATTCCTCAACCATATCATGATGAATTCTATTCAATAGTTCGAGCAATACCAATGCCATTAGCTGATATTGTTCCTATTAATCTTGTTTATGAACTTCGTACCTATTGTACAAGTTTACTTGTTCGTACAATAAATAATACTATTATACACGGTCGAAATCTTGATTTTGATTTTAATACAGATTTACTTCGTCGTTTAACATTTCATGGAAGATTTTTTTTCGAACATCTAATTTAATATTTGAATATGAATCTATTTATTTAGCTGGTTTAATTGGTTTATTAACTAGTTTACGTCAAGGTTATTTTAGTTTACGTATTAATCAATGACAAATAAATGATAAACATTGGTGGATGAATGTATTAATATCTATTTTACATTTACATTTAATGCCTTTATTTATTTTTACACGTTTTATTTTTGATAATCCATATATGTCTTATAAAGATATGAAATATGCACTTGAAAATCAACATTTGATTGCATCCGTTTATTTTATTTTAACTGATGGACAATCATCAGGTGTGATTATAACATGTAATTGTTTAAATTCTATTTATCCTATTGAATTAAATTCTATACTTGTACAAACAAATTATGATCATTGGTTAGATCATCCATTAGATGATCTAAGACGAACAACAGCAAAAAATATTCTTCAAACATTGAATTTAACACAAATGACAACAAATAATATTTTTAATATTGTTTTATCTGTTATACCAGTACTTAATAAAATTACAATTTATACAGCTATTATGAATCCTGGTGAAAAACAAGAGATCTTTGCAAAAATTCGTACATTAAAATAGAGTTTGTTGGTTTCAAAATATCTATTTTCTTTTAATACGGATTCGATTTATTAAATGTGTTTTGTGGACAAATCTGAGTTGTAATTATAATTTCAACGAAATTTCCAGTTTAAGTCTGATAATCACTCCAAAAATCTTAGATACTTTGTTGTCAATTATTTGTATTCTACTACTAACATGTCCTATGTATTTTTCAGACAATATTGACATTGGTCTTATAATAATCAAGTCATAATTATCTGTTACTTTTCGATATATGACTCCTCAAGTTGATTATGATTCTGAATTCAGTCAGTTCCAGAACCAATTCGACATGCTGTATATTAAAGCCTCATTAATGTTAGTTCTTTTCTTAAGTGTAATCTTTTTTACTATATTTTTCTTTTATTTATTTAATAAACAAAAACACATGAGATGATTAGCTCATTATTTGTTTATCCATTGTTTTTCTTTTTTGTTTACTTAGATGATTATATTTTTTATTTTTTTAATCAAAACCACATACAATTTAACAACTGTAAATTGATTAGGTGAGTTAGTTATGCAATGAAATAATGGCTTTGAAGCTGAGACCATTCTATATTATGAAGGCATTTTTATGATTCTCTAAACCATATCTTATTTCTTTTCATCATCATTAACGCTACAGTATTCTTTTTTTTTTTTGGATACATCAAAAATAAAGAATAGCAATACCGCTATTGAAATTGATCTCCAGATAGTTTCTCGCTTCTTCTAAGTAATATGAATAGTGATAGAATCCAGTCCAAACGAGAATATCTATTACTCACTGAACATGCAACCTATATTCTCTCTCTTCCGTTTTGCTTATGCCTTTCTTTTCTTTTTTTCCTGAGGTAAAAACTCGATTGAGACTTTTCTTCAGATTTACTTCATTCATTATTTCGATGTATTTTTTTTTCTTTTGATAGAAAACACAAAATGCATAGCATGTACGTGCACACACACGCATATACTTAAATATGTTTTTACTTGTGAAAAAAAAAAGAATGTCAATGTGTCAGAATGGCATCATTATCAATATTATTGTATAGAGAAAGGAAAAAAAAATCTACGAGAAAGTAAGACTTGCAAGTCTAAAACGCCATATACTCATTATTTTTTTATTCTTCTCTTCGCCTTTTTTTTATTTCCTACTGGTACTGATGCTACTCTTTTACTTCTTCTTTTTTTCTTTTTCATCATTATTATCATTGGTCAATGAATAATACACGTGTAGCATGTTGTCTTCTTTTACTTTTTGTAATCAGACAACTATATACCTTTTTTTTTCCTTCTATATTTATATTCCTGCCATGCCATATTGAGTATGTGTCAAAAGTTAATTTATTGAATTTCTCGTTTTCAGTACGAGTATATAATGTAAACGATCAGAATCAATTTTTTTTCTTAGATCATAATCTAATGTATTACTAAGATGAAGTATTCGTTCATTTTTCTTACTTTATAGTATTCTCATCGTACATCAATGAAGCATTGATATAATGGAATGTCGACATTCTCAGAATACAATTAAAATTGATAATGTTAATGAAGAAATTATTGCTGAAAATAATGGATTATCTGTGATGTCAGTCAATAATGATGATACAACAATATCTTTAAAATCTCAGGTAATTTGATTTTGTTATTACAAAAATAGAAGATTATGTTGTTAACAGTTTTCTCTATACAGCTTTTTTTTTTATTATCTCATTCATCTTGTTTTGTGTTTTTTTGTTGCTATTCGAAGTGTTCACCAATTAAAGACAATTTGATAAATATATACCCTTGAGCACATACATGTCTATGCATCTGTCTATCCATCTTTCCTGCTGTTCTATCCTATTGTTAGTCTGATAAATAGAAATATCTTACTTCCTTTTTCCAAGACATTATTGGTATTCTATGTTAATCACAAGTGATTCGTTTTCTTCGTTTTTTACCGCTTGATGAGAACCAGGAACTCTTTTGTTTTTAGCATATAGATTGATAAAGATGAATCCATTGTTTGATTCTCTGATGATTTTTTTTTTCTTCCTATGTATTGACAGATGGATTGAAGCAGAAAAAAAAACTAAGAAAGAGAAGGAAAAGAAACAGATAGACCATCGGATTAGTATTAATATGTTCTAAGATTGAATGATTCAAAATGTATAAGATATGCTGTCTTTATCAATAAGTCACATAACGAGAAAAAAAATCTCGTCATAAACATCATCGTCAACACGTGAGTGTTTTTGTCGTTGTATTCTTTAATCTCTGGAGAAAATAAGCTTGCATGATTATTCCATCTTGAGCATCTATCTCTGTATAATTTAAAATACGAATCATCTATATGAATATGGGTCAATGATGTCTGCCTTCTAGCAAAAAGAGAACATAAGTGTAAAGTCAATTCATCCTTCTAATTGCATGTGTTGATCGTGATGTCAATAATATATCATTGTTTGACTCAAGAGTATTCTCTTCTGCTTCTTAACATTTCATCAACCATCGATCTATCATTATATATAAACTCTAAGACTTCTCTGTTTGTCTAATGGTTTCATAGCTTTTATTTTGTTTCAAAAGTTGATAAAAACACACACAAACAGGTTTATAACATCAAGTAAGCATAACATTCATTTTATTAGTACTTCAAGGTTAAAACATAGAGTATTCTTACGAATAATATAAAAAGAAAAAAGATTTTTCCTTGAATCAACACCTGTTCTTTTTGTTTCATTAAATAGATCGATGATAATAATTCTAAACAATCGTCATCATCTGTAACTGATCGAACATTAGACAATAATGAATCTTTGTCGACAACAATAACAATACAACAAAATGATAGGTCATCATCTATGAATCAACATATTCTTCGTAAAAAAAACATCTTTTTTTCATTCTAACAATTATTATCACATTATATTTATCTAGATGAAAACCAACAAATATCTGATCGATCATCTTCTATGAATAATCTCAATTTATCTAAACCTAATTCAATGTCATCATTAAAATCGTTTGAAACAAAACGTATTGATGCAGCATTAGAAAAAAATCTTGAAACCATTGTTACACAAGTTCGTCGAACAACAACAAAACCTTCACAATTAACACAAAATGATCTTCAATTATTTGATAGTACATCATCAACTAACGCTAAAACTAATCATCATTCACGTGATATAACATCAGATTCTATCAATATTGATTCAATTAATCAAGAATCAATACAAAATGGACAATACTATCATCATTCTATCATTCCACCATCAACGATCGATCCTTATGGACAACCAGTATGGCCTTCTGGAATTTATCCATTTTCACATCAGCATCCTGGACTTTATTTACCTTATCCACCAACAAACAATGGTTTACCACCACCATTCTATCCATCATATGATCCATTATTAATCGAACAACATTATGGTCCACATGTTTTATCAGCTTATTATACACAACAACAGGCAGTAGCAGCTCGACTTTTACAAGAACAGGCATCTTTGTCAGGTATGATATTAGATAGATATTGAATTTAAAAGAAAATAATAGAAAAAAAAACTAATATCGATAAGAAATTTATTGTTATTTAGATAATATTTCATCCATATTAACCACTCCAACAAAAGAACATTCTGAAAATTCGCCATCAATTAGTGATGATTCCATGAAATTATCTGATTTAGTCACAAATGGAAGTCGAAAAAAAAATATCACAATTAATAAACCATTCCAATCCTATCATCATAGTCTTCAAACAATGAACGGAGGTTTATCTAGATTATCACCAGATTTATTGTCTGATGGTGATGATGGAGGAATTAATGATGCAGATAGTATTATTTCACTTGATAGTATTAAATCTAATATAGCTGCAAGTAAGTTAAAGAATATGACGTACAATCTTCAGTCTAAGTTAAACATGACAATCTATTCTTACTTACAAATTCTCAAGAGAAGGTTAAGAAACAGAATTCTCACAAGTACTTGTATATTCTAGAAATTTTTTGACTAAATCATAAATTATGATCACAGAAACTCTACAAAAATATTTTTCTTTACAAAGCTTTTTTCAAAGAAATTGAAAGAAAACCATGTTTTCAGAAATATTCCACGTCACATGTTTGTTCGCACTGTCTACGGTAGTACTTGCAAGTTTCAATTTCAACTATAAATGGCTGCAGAGAGTGTTTTTTATTCAAATTCGGATTATACATATTAGAAAGAATTCAAATTAATCGAGAAGAAAATATTTTCAGAATATATTTTACTAATAAAAATTTATTTCATAACTGGAACTACTTCAGGCTTTGTATCTAGTACAGGCAACTCAGATGCATCAATATCAATCTAAAAAAAAACACTAGTGTCGAGCGTACCCGTATCGCCTTTTCTTTTAGCAACTGTGACGCAGTTATAGGCAATTACAGAAGAACGTAGTTATGTGTTATTAAGATAAAGAAATCACATAACTAGGATTTTTCTATGGTAACTGCGTCGCAATTTATCGGGCTTATGGGTCACAGTGTGATGACAGTTACGGCGCAGCTGCATCACGATTCGATCGTTATCGAAAACATAGACATTATATCGATTGATAGACCGATGGTAGTTTCTTAGTAGCTATCAAATGGAATATCCTATTATCTAAATTGTTAGGCAAACAATCAATCTTCATAAAAATCTAAAGAAAAAAAAAATGATTCGACACATTGATTTCAATTAAATATATATTTTGTTCAGGTATGCCTGTACTTGAAGATGGTTTATCTGATTCGGAAAATATAAGTAATGATGAACAGTCATCACCTATCATAACAAAATCCAAGAGCCGTCATCAATCAACTCAAAGTGATTTATTATTTGATTCTAATCATTCATCATCCATTCCTGCACATAAAAATTACTCTACTAAAACAATCAATAATGAACATATATCTCAAACAAAATCATCCTATAATTCTCCGTCATTGTCTTCGTCTAATACTCGAGTAGATCAACATAAACTATCTTCCCATGAATCTTCAACTACTCAAACAGGTAAATATAGGTTTTCAGTATATTAATTTACTTTAAAAAAAAAATAAAAAGAAAATTTAGATAAAAAACTTCATAGAAAGGGTTTGTTTTGCATGTATATTTTTTTGTGGTGATATCAACAGTTTGAATAGAATGTATGTTTAAGTAAATATTATTCTTTTCTTTTTTTTTTCAATAGATTATGATACTGATGAAGAAACAGATAAATTACTTAGTGTTGAACATCGAATTAATACAAAAAATCAAGCAATTCGTGATGCCGTATGTACAAATAAAAATTAGAATGATCAATTATTTGTTTTATCTTGTGTTTGAATAGGCTGTTTCAAAATCATCAAGAGTACAAGAAGGTACGTTTATATCAATTGATTACAAGAATTTTTGTTTTTTTTTTGTTCTATATTTTCTTTTTATTCATGAGTTTTAAAAAAAAAACAATTACTAACTTTTTTCTTTTGTAAGTACTTGTTGTCTGTGAAATTTCGATGTTGTGTTATATGGATGTGAAAAAAATTTATTTTTTCTTGGCAAAAAAAAAAATTACTACGATGTTTTATTAATTAGTTACAACACGAATTATTGCTGATCCAGAAAATTCATCTGTATTAATCGAAGGTGTTTTATTTCGTTGTCGATATCTTGGTTCAACTCAATTACCTGCCGAAGGAAATCCAACAAAAATGTCACGTATGATGCAAGCACAAGAAGCTGTTGAACGTATCAAAGCACCGTATGGTGAAAGTCAACCATCAGTTGAAGTGGATTTATTTATATCAACTGAAAAAATCATGGTGTTAAATACAGATTTAGAAGATATTTTAATGGATCATTCATTAAGATCGATTTCATATATTGGTTTGTTAAGAATATATTGTTTTTTTTTATTAATATAATTTGTTTTGAATATTTAGCTGATATTGGTGATCTTGTAGTATTAATGGCTAAACGTAGATATATACAAAATGAGAATAATGGAACTGGTAATGATGATTCGAATGGAACAACAACACGACGTGTAGTTTCAATAAATCAAAAAATGATTTGTCATGTTTTTGAATCAGATGAAGTACATAGAAAATTTTTCAATATATTAATTTAATTTTTGTTACTTGAAATAATTATTAAATATTTTTTTTTTGTTTTAGGCTCAATCAATAGCTCATTCAATAGGTCAAGCGTTTCAAGTAGCTTATGTTGAATTTTTAAAAGCTAATGGTATTGATGATCCTAATTTTACATGTGATATTAATTATCAAGAAGTTCTTGATCAACAAGAAATTGATGTTGAAGAATTAGATCGATTTGCAAAAAAAGAATGTCAAAAAGAGGTTTGAAAAAAAAGAACAAAACATATGAAATAACATAACTTTATTTTTCTCTTTACTTATTTTCTTTTCATAGGCTATTGTAACTAAAGGTAAAAATGAACCATTAGGTATTGTTATTGTTGAAAGTGGTTGGGGATCAATGTTACCAACTGTTGTTATTGCAAATATGATGCCAGGAGGACCGGCAGCAAGGTTTGCTTTACCATTGACTAGTTTGTTCATATTTTCTCTTTTTTTTGTGTTGATTAGAGGTGGACAATTGAATATTGGTGATCAGATAATATCAGTTAATGGTATTAGTATGGTTGGATTACCATTATCAAATTGTCAAGCACAAATAAAAGTATTCTTTTGAATTAACACATTCACTGTGATATGAACCACGATAGAAAAATTTGAATATGTTGATTCTATTTCAATCAGATAGACTAATTTGTCCTCACTGGTAAGAAAATTATTCTCTTTTGATATGTGCAAAGTTGAGTTCACTGGCTTGCGCTGTTGAAATGCTTTCGGAATCTTCCCGAGACCCTTGAAATATAACCAACGATCTCGAAGTAGCCTAACAATGGTTCCAGGTAGAGATAATCGACCATGCTGAGTCAAACGGTAATGTTTACTTTTAGTTCAAATCGATTGGAGTCACTAGATTAGGATTTTCGAAATTCTAATGCGAAATTGAAATGTTGAAACTTTCATTTAGTCACACGAATCGCTGGAGAAATTAAAAATAAACCTTACCAATCAACTTAACGTGGTCGATTATCTCTATCTGCAACCATTTTTCGATTACTTTGAGATCATTTGACTGACTTCAGGGCTCTCGGAAAAATGCCTAAAGTTTTTTATCAGGACAGGGCAGCACGCTTACCCTTGAGCATATCGAAAGAAAACAATTTTTTCTATCGAGAGGTTCAATCAAGAGTCAAAATACAATAGAAATACTTTCAGAATACTATCTACAACATATCGTAGAATTCATGATCGAGATCAGTAATCATAATTCAAAGCATTTATAAAGTTTGTTTTTATGAAAAAGAACCTTGAATTACTCTTTATCTCATCGAAAAAAATTAGTCCATTTGATTGAAATAGAATCAACATATTCACATGTTTTCTTGAGATCTATCGATGGCTCACATCCTGGTGAATATGTTGAGTAAATAAATTCATATGGAATGTTTTTTATAAACTTAGAATATGAAACATTTAACAACTGTCCGTCTTGTTGTTGTTCCATGTCCACCAGTTGTGGAAGTACTTATACGACGACCAGATCCTAAATATCAAGTAGATATTTTAATTTTGAAGAATAAAATTTGAAATGCATTTCTTTTTTTTCTAGCTTGGTTTTAGCGTACAAAATGGAATTGTAAGTAACTATGAAAAGTACTTGATGATCGCTACTATTTGGTAATGAAGGAAATTATCAGATTTTAACTTTTCAGAGTTGAAGCCGAACTCGAAGGTTGAATATAAATTGATTGGTATTGATAGAGATTTTTAACAGAATTTTTTGAAAATGAAATTTCTCAACCAGCTATAAAATTCAATTTAGTCTCGATAGCAAAGATAGGTCTCTGTCGATTTACACAAAATCGACGTTTACAATTCAGTGGATTTAATGATTGTAAAAAAGAAAGGTATACGTAATCAGTCTTCAGTATTAATTTATTACCATCACACAAACCCTTTTATTCGAAGACTTGAAGTCGGTCAAGTGACTACTGATCCATTTGATTGGTATTGAGTTTGGTTTAGTCGACCAAGTTGAATCGAAGAGTGAAAACAGTAGTGTTCTAGCTATTATTTCCGAGATATTCAAAAAACATCAAATTTTATTGTATTTAAACCAGAGATGTCCATCGCGGCGCTGCCGCGGTGGCGGTGGCGGCGCGGCAGCGGCAGGTTTTTAAAAAAAAATCACCGCGGCAGCGGCGCGGTAGCGGCAGATTTTTTTAAAAGTCATCGCGGCAGCGGCGCGGTAGCGGCAGGTTTTTTAAAAAACCATCGCGGCAGCGGCGCGGCAGCGGCAGGATTTTTTTGGAGGACATTGAAAAACTGTATGAATTTAATAGAATTTCACGATTTACAAATGAAACGCCCTGATATTGAATAAATCTGATGGACTCGTACCCATATCTCTGGTCAAATATAGTCACAGCAGTGAAATTAGAAACACTTTTTTGAAAATCGTCGCGGCAGCGGCGCGGTGGCGGCACGTTTATTTTATAATTCATCGCGGCAGCGGCGCGGCAGCGTTTCTTTTATAAGTCATCGCGGTGCGGCAGCGTCGCGGCAACATTTTTTTATAAACCGTCGCGGCGCGGCAGCGGTGCGGCAGCTTTTTTTTTCTAAGGCCGCGGCGCGGCAGCGGCAGATTTTCAGCCGCGATGGACATCTCTGATTTAAACGTCAGAAATAAAGATATTCAGGGTAAACTTTTCTCATACTCTACATCCTGCCTGAGAAATTTTTTTCAACCTTTTCCCTATCCTGCAAGGTTGAGCGGTGGCAGATTTAGAGAGAGGGATCAACCGCTCTTTTCTTTGAAAGTATTATACTCAGCAGAAAACATTCGAAAATGAGTCAACATGACCTCTAATTTGAATTGAAAACATATTTTGTAACTATGATTGCTCCGCATTTTGTTGAAGCGCTCAGTTTTTATCAAAATTCTAGAGCTGTCACTGGAATACAAGAGGGTAACTCTGTACATCCCGAGGTAAAAGTAGACAATAAAGCAAAAAAAAAGAATTTTTTGCTTTAGAATAAAATGAAAAGATTAGTTAGATTTATTATACGTCTCAAATACAACTTTAGACTTGAGCTCGACAAAGTGTTATGTTTTTAGAGCTTCTGAAATGTATCATTCGACAGTATATACTAAATTCTAAATCAATTCTAAATAAATCGTTTTCACGTGGAATGACATTAGTCAAATATTTTTTTTTTTTATTATTGACATAAAAATCAAGAAGTTGATTTTTATTAACTTTTGTTCATCATAATTAAATTGGTTATTATCGATTTAAAACTCGTTTATCTTAGATATGCAGTCTTCTTCGTGGTGGTATTGCTGAACGTGGTGGTGTACGAGTTGGCCATCGTATTATTGAAATCAATGGACAAAGTGTTGTAGCTACACGACATGAAAGAATAGTTAGTATGTTATCAAATTCAGTCGGTGAAGTATGTTATTTATTCTGATTAATTTCTTTTCAAATGAAATTTTTTCTTCTTTGTATTTCAGCTTCGAATGAAAACAATGCCAACACAAATCTATCGTTTATTAACAGGACAAGAAACTCCAATATATATTTAAAAGTCTTTCTATATTTAATCTCAAATTATTATTGTTATTGTTTAACTCAAAGAGATTACATGATGTAAACAAAAACAATATTAATTATTAAATGTCGAATTAATTCATTTTTGTTTATTTGTTGTTTTTAAAATTTTTGTCAAACAACGATATGTGTGAACAGTATTTTATGTATTTCTCATTCCTCATTAAATTTCTTCTAATCTCATATTCATTTCTTTTGTATATAAAATTAAAAATGATCTATAGTAATTAATCTATAATTTTAAGATGGATGATAATAATACAAATAATAAGAATGATGATAATGATGATGTTGTTGACAATAATGATGATGAAAAAACTCATTTAAATAAAATTCGTCAAATATTAATTCAAACAAAAATTGAACCTGCAAAAAGTTCAACGATTGTTGAATTATTTCGACGATTTTTTTCAACAAATACAAATCAAGAAAAACTTGAAGATATTGATTGTGCACATGGTGGATATCATGAAATCATACCACGATTATTTCTTGGTGACTAGTAAGTATTTTACATTAGATGAAATTGTATAGAATTTTCTTTTTTTTTGTTAATTTTATGCATTCAGTCGATTAGCAATGGATCCAATAAAATTGCAGAAATTAGGTTTTACGCATATTTTGAATGCTGCTGAAGGACGTAAATTTGGACAGATTAATACAAGTGCAACTTATTATGAAGAAACAGGAATTAAATATAAAGGTTTTTCCATTATTGATAGCCCTGCATATAAAATTGGAAAGCATTTTGAAGATGCAATACAATTTTTAGAAGAAGCATTAAATAATAATAAAAGTATGTAATCATTAGTAAAGTAATAATCTAAGGTTTAAAATTTGTTTCATGTTTTTAGATCGTGTTTATGTTCATTGTCAACAAGTAAATTAAAAATACTGTTATAAAATTTTAATCTATTGAAATTTTTTAGGGTATTAGCCGATCAGCAACATTAATTATAGCATATCTACTTCATACATATGAACATATGTCATTATTTGATGCATTTCAACTTGTTGCTGCTCGACGTCGTATTTGGCCAAATGATGGATTTTGTCGTCATCTACTTCAACTTGAAAAAGAAAAGAAACAGAAGAAAAACAATGAAGAAACTCCACCAATATCTCAGATTCAAACAATTGAAAATGATTTTGAATTGTGTACAATAAATGACGAAAATACTGATATTGAAGAGTTTTCAACAAAATTTTAATGTCAATATCAAAATATCTTAAATACAATAATCAAATTTTTATGTTTTGCAATTTTTTTTTTAATTTATTCTATGCATAAATTTTTATCATATTGTCAAATAACAAATCTTAAAGTAAACGAGCTTTAAAATATGAATTTTGTTTTATTTTATTAAATAAAATGATGAAATCGTCACCCATAATTAAAATAACAATGATAACGATAGTGAAGGTATTTTCAATTAAACAGAATTCTTTTGATTTAGCAGAGTGATTATTATCGAATTATTTCACATATGATCGTTCACTTTAATACCAGGAAAAAGACAACAAGCATCATTACTATGATTCAACAATGTAAATATTTCTACGCAAAAAATAAAGAACAATTTGTAGTTTATTCCAAGTTTCAAAAACTTATTTTTTGAATTTTGTGCTCTACTTTTTATTTTACAGTGTATCATGGTTATGACAGAGATTCTTATATTATTGCCGTAACAAAAAATACAGTATTTAATTGGTTGTAAGGAATATACTGTATATTTTGGGCTTCAATAAAGTCTATTCATATTTAGACAAGATATGGTCCTTAGATTAACATATCTCAATAAACATTGAATATTCAAATCGATGTTTAAAATGGTATATTATTGTTTGACATTTGCTTGTTTAACCTTTTCGTCGCCGATAAACGAATACACATATGTAAAATAGAGTAACTTTACGTCACGCACTTTTTCGTTTCTTAATGCATGAGTTTGACATGAGCGGCGACAAAATGATAATGTGAAAAGCTCCTACTGTTTGACGTTTGCTGTTACACAACTGTGTCCAAAAAATATGCATTGTAAGTAATTACATTTGTTTCATGTGATGAAAAAGCTCATAGTACATTTATGCGTCGCCGGTCACCAAAGAATTAATAGTAGAAATATAAATATCAAAATATGATCATCAAATATTCCAAATCGATCAATGAGATTCTTTTCTTAATCAAGAAGAAGAGAAATAATTTTTTTCAAAAGATACATATATTGTTCTGCTAACACAAAAAAGAAATCTTGTTTAACTATCATATATTTGTTATTTACAGTTACACTTGTTATAATTGAACCGATTTGCAATATATGAAAGATAAAGAAATGAACATCAAATGAAAAAAACACACAGATCAAACTGAATTATAAAAAAAAAAACAACAAATAAAAGACTAATAGAAGTCGACATGTAATTATCTTGATCATTTATTTGAAAACTTTCGTACAATCATATTTAATCAATGAGCAAATTATATGCTGAATTCATTACTTAAAATGAATAAAAAGTTAAAACATGATCGATGGAATGAAAAACTCTTGTTTTTCACGATTCAGAGAAATAATATATAGTGAAAAACGCTCGACTTCAATATATTTCTGTTATAGAATCCAAAATCATTTTCAGCTTATGAAAGAATGTTCGTAAATGTCAAATCACTTTTCCCATGAGAATATTGCCTTTCGCTCAATCATGATAAGTAGTGGGAAAAACCTGTTTTTGTTTGACTTTTCCGATCTTCGCTTGTCAAGTTATGAGTTTTTTACTCGTTTTTTGTTCCATGAATATAAAATCATTGAGAAACTATATGGTCGATTTTCGAGGAACTATTTTATGGATCAGTAGAATTTATAGGCACTAGAATCTCTTCAAAGTTTGAGCCATAGCGAAGGTATCTCTGTGAAGATATTCACATTTTAAAGAAACGCTTTTTTAGAGCTATGTTTCAAAAGAAGGACATTCTTGTGACGAACTGATATTTTTGATTTATTGATAAATATCTCAAATATTTTTAAAGTATTGCGTTGTAAGTGTGTATCTTCTCTTCATCCACTCCATATTCAAAACCAGATCTATTTGATTCCAAGAAAATACCAAACAATCGTATTTCTGAAGAATACCGAATGACTAGAGAGGGGAAGATGACAAGACCATAATGACACTCATCATCCAACAATTTTTTTAAACATCAAACAACATGCCATTGATTTGTGAAAATATATTTTGTCAAGAATAAGAAAATCATTTTATGAAACTATTGGTTTCTCTTTTTTTGACAAAGTCATAAGTAAACTCATTGAATGTCGTATCATTCTTTTCAAAATGATAAAAAGAACAAATCCATAGTTAATTTTCTATTCTATATACTTGAGTAGTTCTGATAGTATATTTCTAACCTCTATTCTAATCGAAATAAAACATAATTGTCTTTTAGTTAAAGTAATTATTGTAGTAAGAAAAAAACTCTCTTACAATTATAATGATCAAATAAGAATCATAATATTTTATTCTTCTTCTCGAAAGAGTGAACAACAAGATAATAGAAGAAGTTGATTACGTGCCAAGGAACAGAGTTTCTATTCAAAGAACAGGAAATTAAACTCTAGTCATTCAAACCATATATCGACATATTAACAATGGATGATCATAGTAACTAATTTGAATAGATGAAAAATTTTCTCAGTTGTGCTGCTAATTTTGGAACAAAATTATTAACATATTAGAAGTATCGAAGCAAAATTGAAAATATTTAAACGATGCTTCCTATAGGAAATAGTAATTTTCCACAACATATTTTTTTTTAAAAATGACTAGAAAAATACTAATCATTCCTTAATATGAGATGTAGTTTATCTTCCCATAATATCATCGATATTACCAATACAATATCAGTCTGAATTCTAGAACAAATTCTAACAAACATGTTGAAATCATTATATGAATGATAGTAAACAACGATTATGATGAAATTTCAAATGCTCTCTCAACCATCAGTTATGTGTTTCATTAAAAACATCAATCCAAGTGTTCATTAATTCCGTCATTGCTTTATTTATTTTACTAACAGTTGCTAGTTGTCAAGGCTGTTATGTACAAATTGACAAAGAAAAACACGTTTAAAAGATTTTAGGAGTGACTACTAAAAAGTGCATCAACATGAAATAAAATTCAAATATATGCATCTACAAACATAGCAAGTACTTGAAGGATAAGCACAACGAAAAATAACATTGAAGTTTATATTCGACATCGAATTTCGAACATTTTTTTATCCACATAAGGACCTTGCAAAATAAAAGCAAACCCTCGACATCAGTGGAATTGGAAGCTAAATGTAATAGATAGATAGATTACTAATAATCGGATACCTCTGTATATTTTTATCGCTGTTTTTTTTTTTGTTTATTCAATGAAAAACACTTTAAATTATTGAACTCTTCTAAGCCAATTGATAACTGATGAAGTCTTGCACACGACTGATTCTCGAATGAAAATGCACTTCTAAAGATTATTAATATAGGTCATAGCTGATACTTATATTGTATTAAACTAATCGAATAAGAACTAACGCATTGCATGTATGCAGACAGAAGTCTTCCGATGAAAGTTATGAATTTTTCTAATATGTATACAATGCTCTATACGTTTCTTTCCTGTTTTAGTGTCGCAACGACAAGAAACTATTCACCGAATAGTAAAAATAGCTATTAATCATGAAAAAAAAAGAACACTCTGATCGGATTGTTTCTCGAATAAGTTAAAAATCAAAAAGAGAATTCTGCTTTTTTCTCTACAACTAAATCTTACAACCAAGTGTTCGTCGAAGGTTTCGTAATTGAAATTTTTTTCATGTCTTATTGTGAAACACGATCTGAAAGAAATGTTGAAGTGTAAGGATAAAAATCTGCACAGCCTTCCCCACACAAATTATGACAGACGTTATTGATATACGATCAAAAACTGTATACCGATAGCGTCTCGTTATATGATCTGAGCTACATTCTTATTGCATTTGTGGAGGATTAAGTGAAAGAAATGTATCTCAAACGATATAGAATAAAACAATCTCTCTGTGATTGACAAAAGCGACTATATCGAGTTTCACATTTTAATCTCATAAGGATTGCGCGAACAATATTTTATCTTTTAAAATATCAGGTAGTATTCCTATAAGTACAAATGGATTATTTATTATTGTACAAAATATTAATACATAAAAAAACATAAAGAAAAGATTTGATATTATTCTACAATCTGACGGTGAAAAATGGTATATATATATACATACTATTCATATATTAAATTTAAACAGCATCTGTCTTATGGACAATATTCATATTTTTCTTTTGATTTAATGTTGGTAGAGTTTGAATTGAAATTGATGATAAAATAGTATCTTCTTTTTCGAATGTATTTAATACATCTAATAATGATTCAATAGCTGGTTTTAATTCAAGTGTTTCTCGAAATAATCTATCTTTTCTTTCATAAATTTGTAAACGTCGAGTTCGATCATCAAGTATTATTTGTAATTGTTGACAATGTTTTTCTAATAATTGATTTGCTTTATATAAATCCATATAAATTAAATCCTTTTGTTTTAATTCTTCTTTTTGTTTATTAACTAATTGTTCTAATTCTTGATTATGTTTATGTAACATTTGTAAATGATGATTTGCTTCTCGTATAGTTGTACGTGTTAAAAAATTTGATGTAGAATTATCATCATGTTTAATTATTTCTTCATTCATCTAAAACTAAAACAAGATCTAGATCTATTGAAATTACAAAAATGTAAGAAAAAAAAAAAAAAAAAAGAAGTTTATTATATATTAATGTGTTTCATTAGGATCTTGTTTTTCTCTTGATTTAGTACCTGGATTTATTTCATAATCATCTCGTATTGGAAATGAACCTTCAAATAAAAAATCTAGTTATATTAATTAAAGATGAATTTGAATACTTACCGATTCCACCTTGTGCTGAATCACGTCCATAACTTGTGCCCAACATATCGATTGGCTATAAATAATATTTGCAAAAAAAAAAATTCAAGGTTATAAACAAAATAAAATTCGATCTACTTTTTCTGATAATTGTTGCCGTCTATTTTCATGTATAATTGTTTCATTAAGTGTTGGAGGATCTTTCCGAGTACCTCTTAACCATGCTAAATAATATAATAAATAAATATTGATATTTA